ACACACACATATATATATATTATACACACACACACACATATATATATACACACACACACATATATATATATATATATATACACACACACACACACATATATATATATATATATACACACACACATATATATACACACACACACACATATATATATATATATTTTGGAATGCATTTACTAATATGTAAAAAAAAATATATGTTAAAATTACTTTTTTATATGTTAAAAAAAAAATCTGAAGAATATATTTGAAAAAAAATATTATTAAAATTTTTTTTTTTTTAAATATATTCTTCAGATATTTTTAAACATATAAAAAAAAGTCATTTTAACATATGTTTTTACATATTAGTAAATGCATTCCAAAAATGTAGATTTGTATTTTTAAAGACATACAGTATATTTGAAATGTATTTTTAAAAATATTTTTTCATATACTTTGTAATAAAAATGCATTTCAACATGCAGTGTATATATATATATATATATATATATATATATATTTATTTATTTAAATATATTTTGAAATATATTAAATACGGCCAAAATTGTAGTATTTCAAACATATGGCAATATATTTGGGAAGAATATTTTTAAAATATATTTCAAATATATTTTTTCTTCCATGTGGGACGGGAGCTGTATGGCCAATTCTGTGATCCATACTTAGGGTGTGTATGTACACAAAAATTCACATAGTCCATGAAAATTGCTGTAAATTCCTTCTTTATGACTTGGGCAAAATGGAATGTCCCCGGGCTATATTCTCTGCAGGTCAATTGTGTGAAGGCAGGCAATACCACATTACGGCCAGTAGATGGAGCTTATGAGCACCCTTTGTTCCTATGATGGTCAGTGCCATCTAGAGGCCAGGATGTCCTTCTGGTGGCCAAGATGTGGTATTTTCAGCCTTCGCACATTAAAACTGCAGAGAATAAGCCTGAGAACATTCGATTTTGCACAGAACCAATTGACGTGCAGTTTCGATGGGCGAAATATAGAAAGGAGCCTGAAAGAGGCCTTAGGCTACAGAATGTATGTATTTATTTATTTATTTTAATTTACAGAAAGAATGCCAACAGGCGCCAAAAACCCATGGAGGACAAATGACAAAGCTCAAATCCACAACCTAGTAGCAGTCTGAGACACAAAGCGAGCATTATGGGCACAAACAAAAGTAATGAAAGGCTCTAAGCAGGAACTAATTCTATTACAAGGGTTGGGGGGGGGGGGCTGGAATTTTAAGAAACAGCAGGGAAAGGGAAAACCCTTGAAAGTCCTAATGACAAAGTCTAAGAATAAAAAGTCCTAGACGTACAATGGAATGGACTACAAAATTACACTCAGGTCTTGAGGAGCGAAGACCGCATGTTTTAAGTAGGAAAAAAAAAACCCTATTCAAGGTACGCAACTCCAACCAGATAACCTCCGTGCTTGGCTAAGGAGAAGATCTGAAATGAAGTCAGTTTTAGGTTTGGTAATTACGCTCGCTAATGATCATCTGGAAGAGAAAAAACAAACATAGACAAAGCCCCCGATGACCAATAGAAGGGAGGAGGGCTTCCGGCAGCAGGTTTTCGAGGAAGGTCAACAGCCAACAGGACATCTCTTGAATGGGCCTTATCTGAGTGTTTCCTAAAGAGAAAATGCACGCACAATGCCGACAAAAAGTAACGAGTGGGGGATTATCCATGATTGAGAACTAGCCGGAGAAGAGAAAGGGGAGGACATGGTCAACGCCGATCCTAATTTCCTTACAGCAACTGAGATTTCAGGTCTACTACATAAAAATGAACTGACATGGAGCAAGCATGGAGTCAGTAATTTGCTGGGACATCTGATGTGCATATTCTTGTTCCAGGTCAATTACTCCCGAAATAGTAAAGGTTCAAGAGGAGAGCTCGGAGCACGCACCACCAAATCTACGAGGGGCGTTCAAGTCAAACCGAGACTTTTAATTTTCCAGGTATAAAAAGGGATGGTAGCGTGTTGATACTACATGCAGTATTAAGTGTCAAATGTGTCCTATCACTGATAGGCAACGCACATGTCGCAGGCCAATCCAGAGACCGTTAACCAAGATGGCAGACAAGCAGTGTTCATGCATGCGCGGAACTGCGTATGGTAATGAAGTTTCTTGAGAACGAAAGGCATAAAACCTGTAGATATCTACAGAAGACTTCAAGCTCAGTACGGTGATGAGACGCTCAGCCGCTGTAAGACATTTGAGTGGTGTAAAGGTTTCAAAGATGGCTGTATGTCCATCAGTGCCGACCCGACCATGGTGGTTCCCAGCCCACAGCAGTCATTTGCCTGATCCTGGATAATCGATCGTGAAATTACACAAAAGACAAATCTTTTTGTGGGAACAGTGAACAAGATGAGGAAGTGAAGCCGGCTGTCCTAGGATGGTTGAGACGTACTGACAAATCTTTCTATGCTGAAGCTTTCCTGGCATTAGTGACATGCTGGGATAAGTGTATAAATATACAGTGGGAAAAAGTATTTAGTCCCCACCAATTGTACAAGTTCTCCCACTTACAAAGATGAGAGAAGCCTGTAATTGGCATCATAGGGAGACCTCAACTGTGAGAGACAAAATGAGAAAACAAATCCAGACAATCTCATTGGCTGATCTGGAAAGAATTTATTTGCAAATTATAGTGGAAAATAAGTATTTGGTGAATATGAAAAGTTCATGTCAATACTTTGTTATATATCCTTTGTTGGCAATGACAGAGGTCAGACGTTTCCTGTAAGTCTTCACAAGGTTGGCACACACTGGTGCTGGTATGTTGGCCCATCCTCCATGCAGATCTCCTCTAGAGCAGTGGTGTTTTGGGGCTGTCGTTTGGGCAACACGGACTTTCAACTCCCTCCAAAGGTTTTCTATGTGGTTGAGATCTGGAGACTGGCTAGGCCACTCCAGGACCTTGAAATGCTTCTTACGAAGCCACTCCTTCGTTGCCCGGGCGGTATGTTTGGTATCATTGTCATGTTGGAAGACCCAGCCACGTTTCATCTTCAATGCCCTTGCTGATGGAAGGAGGTTTGCACTCAAAATCTCACGATACATGGCCCCATTCATTCTGTCCTGTACATGGATCAGTAGTCCTGGTCCCTATGCGGAGAAACAGCCCCAAAGCATGATGTTGCCACCCCCATGCTTCACAGTAGGTATGGTGTTCTTTGGATGCAACTCTCAGCATTCTCTCTCCTCCAAACACGACGAGTTGTGTTTCTACCAAACAGTTCTATTTTGGTTTCATCTGACCATATGACATTCTCCCAATCCTCTTCTGGATCATCCAAATGCTCTCTAGCAGACTTCAGACGGGCCCCGGACATGTACTGGCTTAAGCAGGGGGACACGTCTGGCACTGCAGGATCTGAGTCCCTGGCGGCGTAGTGTGTTACTGATGGTAGCCTTTGTTACGTTGGTCCCAGCTCTCTGCAGGTCATTCACTAGGTCCCCCCATGTGGGTCCTGGGATTTTTGCTCACCGTTCTTGTGATCATTTTGACCCCACGGGGTGAGATCTTCCGTGGAGCCCCAGATGGAGGGAGATTATCAGTGGTCTTGTATGTCTTCCATTTTCTAATTATTGCTCCCACAGTTGATTTGTTCACACCAAGCTGCTTGCCTATTGCAGATTCAGTCTTCCCAGCCTGGTGCAGGTCTACAATTTTGTTTCTGGTGTCCTTCGACAGCTCTTTGGTCTTCACCATAGTGGAGTTTGGAGTGTGACTGTTTGAGGTTGTGGACAGGTGTCTTTTATACTGATAACAAGTTCAAACAGGTGCCATTGATACAGGTAATGAGTGCAGGACAGAGGAGCCTCTTAAAGAAGAAGGTCCAGGTCTGTGAGAGCCAGAAATCTTGCTTGTTTGTAGGTGACCAAATACTTATTTTCCACCATAATTTGCAAATAAATTCTTTCCAGATCAGCCAATGAGATTGTCTGGATTTGTTTTCTCATTTTGTCTCTCATAGTTGAGGTCTCCCTATGATGCCAATTACAGGCCTCTCTCATCTTTGTAAGTGGGAGAACTTGCACAATTGGTGGCGGACAAAATACTTTTTTGCCCCACTGTACCTGTGGCTCTACCATGTGATTGCTGGAACAAACTATATGGAAATTCTGTTGTTTAGCTACGCCAATAATTCAGTAACTGGAGTTCAGTGAATCATCTGGTCTGATTTACTGGGAACACCGAGTGAAAGTGAAATCCTACAGTGTGTGGGAACGGGAAATTAAGTGAAAAACCTTCATGTAATCTTCTGGGCACTGAATACTGACAAGAAAAAAGGAAGGAGAAGCAGCCAGTTCGGGAGTGAAGGCAGTGGTGGCCGGTGACAGAGGTTTCGTTGGAGGGGTGGATTTGTAGATGTATGGTCTACCTGTTTAAGCGGCAGGGACCCCAGGTCAGGTCCTGCTATGTAGCAGAATTCTCCTATGGACTTGGCCTAGAACAAGGCATTGTGAAGTATACAGCAGGTTCTCTCAGTGTCTTCAGGCTGAAGTACAGTGTAAGATGTAACGCAGTGTTTATCAACCAGGGTTTCTCCAGAGGTTGCTAGGGGTTCCTTGAGTAATTGCTTCCTCTCAGATAAGTTTCCACTGACCCCATTCATCTTTTTATTTATCTGTAAGGGGGTAATTCTTCCCACTGACCACCAATGTAAGAAGCATTCCCATTGACCCCCAATGTAAGGGACGTTCTTCCCACTGATCACCAATGTAAGAGACATTCTTCCCACTGACCCCAATGTAAGGGACATTCTTCCCACTGACCCCCAATGTAAGGGACATTCTTCCCACTGACCCCCAATGTAAGGGACGTTCTTCCCACTGACCCCCAATGTAAGGGACATTCTTCCCACTGACCACTAATGTAGGGGACATTCTTCCCACTGACCCCCAATGTAAGGGGCATTCTTCCCACCGACCCCCAATGTAAGGGACATTCTTCCCACTGATCACCAATGTAAGGAACATTCTTCCCACTGACCCCAATGTAAGGGACATTCTTCCCACTGATCACCAATGTAAGGAACATTCTTCCCACTGACCCCCAATGTAAGGGACATTCTTCCCACTGACCCCCAATGTAAGGGACATTCTTCCCACTGACCCCCAATGTAAGGGGCATTCTTCCCACTGATCACCAATGTAAGGGACATTCTTCCAAATGACCATCAATGTAAGGGGCATTCTTCCCACTGACCCCCAATGTAAGGGACATTCTTCCACTGACCCCCAATGTAAGGGACATTCTTCCCACTGCCCCCCAATGTAAGGGACATTCTTCCCAATGATCACCAATGTAAGGGACATTCTTCCCACTGACCCCCAATGTAAGGGACATTCTTCTCACTGATCTCCAATGTAAGGGACATTCTTCTCACTGATCTCCAATGTAAGGGACATTCTTCCCACTGATCTCCAATGTAAGGGACATTCTTCCCACTGACCCCCAATGTAAGGAACATTCTTCCCACTGATCACCAATGTAAGGGACATTCTTCCCACTGACCCCCAATGTAAGGGACATTCTTCCCACTGATCACCAATGTAAGGGACATTCTTCCCACTGATCACCAATGTAAGGGACATTCTTCCCACTGACCCCCAATGTAAGGGACATTCTTCCCACTGACCACCAATGTAAGGGACATTCTTCCCACTGACCCCCAATGTAAGGGACATTCTTCCCACTGACCCCCAATGTAAGGGACATTCTTCCCACTGACCACCAATGTAAGGAACATTCTTCCCACTGACCCCCAATGTAAGGGACATTCTTCCCACTGACCCCCAATGTAAGGGACATTCTTCCCAATGATCACCAATGTAAGGGACATTCTTCCCACTGACCTCCAATGTAAGGGACATTCCTCCCACTGACCACAATGTAAGGGACATTCTTCCCACTGATCACCAATGTAAGGGACATTCTTCCCACTGATCCCCAATGTAAGGGACATTCTTCCCACTGATCACCAATGTAAGGGACATTCTTCCCACAGACCATCACACTAATGTATCATAAGTGTCAGATATAGCAATTTTTAGCAGGAATCCCCGAGAGTGAAGGGTTTTTCGGTGTTGAGAAAGGCTGATGTAATGTATGAAAAGAACTGGTGGAGGAAAATCAGTGTTTCATGCTATTTCCACCAAAATTGCTTCATAGTCAGTGCTGGAACAAACCTCATTGGTGGTAAAAAGGATGGCATCCTTCCATTGTGGGACCTAGTGTGAGAGCTTGGCCTCCGACCATGAGGGGTGCTAACTCACACCATAAATGGTAGCAGAATGCAACTACATGAGTAATTATTAAAAACCATTCCATGTAGTTCCCCCATGCAACCCATTTAATTCTGGTATGTGTCCCAATGCATACGTTATTAATTCATGCTCTTCCTGGCACTTCATGTGAGTAGAGTTCATTTATTTATTATTTATATATTTTTTTTATAATTAATATATTATTTTGCAGGTTTATTTTTTTTACACACTTTCTTGCTGGAGGTGGATCTGATTGGCTCTACTCAGATTGGGCCGTCATGTGTGAGGGTGTGTGTTTGAGTCCTCCTTACCATTTTTTGGCTTATATATGTTGGATCAGCAGGTTTACATTTTAGCTCTGAAAAAGGGAGTACTTCTCCCGAAACGCGTTGGCCTATCCCTACAAGGGTCTATTATTCCATTGGACTGACATTACGGATTTATCTGCTCTGTTTTTATTCTCTTTGGTTTGTGAATATACATCTATATATGTTTTTTAATAAATGTGTGGTTTACCACGTTAATGCACGATGAGAGTGCGCCCTTTTTTTATTTTGTTTACCAGTACCAAGATTTCCCTATCTTTTTTAGGGCTGCACCTCAACGTTTGGCATTCAAAGTTCCTTCTAGTCTGCATGAAGATTTGAGCGCTGGTTTCGTTTGTACATTTTAATACGAGTCTGTATATGGGGGCTCCTTCCAAGCTCAGAGTCGGCTGGAATACAAAAGCCTACAAAGTTGTTCCCCCAAATCATGAGAGCACAAAATAAGAATGGTCACTGTGACAGGAGTGACTTTGGGGGGACCCCTGTCTCAGCTCCCCATATCCCTATTATGTGTAAGTCACCCTGTGCCTGTTAGGGGTACAGTGTGGAATGTCCTGATATTGTGTAGACATGTATAGGTGGGGGTTGGTCATTGTTTACTGCCATTGTTCTATTGTGTGTCTTGCTTGGGAGCAAACTATTATGGGATGTATGTGTCTATGTGTATTGGCTTGGTGGGGGTTGTTTCCGGCGGCCCTTCTCCCTGATGGGGTTGTCTGCTGATGTGTGCTAGATTTGGTTTGCCCCGTCCTGTGCCCATATGCAGGGAGGTGGGTTGTTCCCTTGAATGTGTATATATCTTGTATCTATGTTAAAATAAAGCAGTCTATCTCCTGGAATCCTTCAAGTCTGGTGCTGTCTCCTCTTGTATGGTCAGCGGTGGGGTCCGTGGTCGGTGTTCAGACAGGTAAGCAGGAGTCTAGTGTAGTCGGGGTCCTGTTCCGTTACATGTCACCAATTCCAAAGAATCCATGTTCTGGCTGGAGGGTAAATTGCCGATATGTAACCACCTTGTTTTTCCACCCCAACTGCGGGAATCCTAATGGAGGAATACCGAATCCCATGTACGAGGTATTGCTGACCTAATCACTAAGAAAAGCGTAATGAGTGGATTTCCAGGTAGTTATTGAGCCAGTAGAAGGGTAAATGTGTAACTGATTATTAGGGAATGATCTCACTCCATACTCCAGTAAATAATCATATGGACCCCATGGGTAGAGCGCATAAGACTTCCTTATTACAAGTCTTTGTTACCAACACGAGACGGGATTCTGTCTGCTCCATTTTTCCGTATTACCTAAAGTCCCTTTATATTAGCTTCTTTTATGACCATAAAATATGTACCCCAACCAATTGCTCCATATTAAATTCTGATTTCTTTATTTTCGTCTCCTCGAGCCTGACCTTTTTTGCGAAACATTTGATGCTTAGAAACCTTCCATCGGCGCTCCAGTCCATCCACCTTTTGATGAGTTTGACAGATAAATCAATGTGAGCTGTAAGTCTTCTCAGATTTCCAACAATTCAGATATAAAATGCATCTGTGTAAAATTAGAGAGCCGGGAACGGATTGCCAGGAGGAACAGCAAGACGAAATCCCTCCAGAGCCTTAAAAACTAATATCACTTATGCCGCAACTTTGAAATACAATTGCAGTCTGGGACATCTTTCTTTTTAAAACCTCTTGGTTTTAATAAATATGTATTTCCAAGGAAAACTATGTACAGCAATGTGCTATTCCGGAGTGAACAAATAACTGCAACGTGAATACATTTCATCTGAATCACGGCCCGTCTTCTTCAAAGGCAACGAAAGAAAAAAAAAACCCACTAAGCCAAGAGGTCACTTGGCTGTCTGGATTACAAAACAGGGGGCGCAGCAATTATTAGAGTCTATGTAAAGGCAAAACTTTTATTTTAGTTTTGAAATGAGCAGAGAAGGGTAGGACTCTGTGCCAAGTTTTTACTGTCTGATGTGTGTGTGATAGCGTTGGACCCAAGTGAAAGTTGGTTCTCATGGATCTACGTGTAGCACTCTCCCCTTAGGAGTTGCCGAAGATTTGGGACCAGAGACAGCAAACAGTCCTTGAGCTTGGTTTTTAAGTTTTATTAGAGGGTATTGAACTTGGATGGGGTGAGGGGTGTATGGGATGCCCAAGGAACAGTAAACTGAAGACAACTTCCTGACAACTATGTACAAGTCCAAAGAGAGAACTTTTCTTCTAGGAGAGCTCTCCAGCTTCTCCTGGTGTACCCCCCCCCCCCCCCCAAGCCCAGATAAATCCTTTTCTTTGCCCAGCTGTCTGGAGGAATCTCTGGCCAAGGGGATCTAGTGCCTGCCACTTTCAGCTACACAGTCCCAGGTAAGGAGATAATCAGGTTTCCCACCAGAAAGCCCTCTCCTCTTAACTGGCCCAGGGGGTGTAGGATTACTCACTCCTTGCCTGTGAGCTGGTTGGGTTGGTGGATGCCTTCAGGCCTTATGCTGGGCTGGCTCCTTCCCTGGCTCCAAAGGTTGTCCTACCATCAGGAACCTCCTTTCCCTTTTCCCTCCTTTCCCTTCCCACTGGGCCCCCTCTCAGGCTCCTGCATCTCAGCCATCCTCACATCTTCCACCCGAATTCTCTTGCTGCTGAGCAGGCTCAGTCATACTTAAGGGCTGTCCTAACCCCATGCCAAGCTCCTTCCTGGGGATTGGTCAGGATCCCTTAAGTATGCAGATCAGTCCTTACTCACCCCCGCCCACTGCTTCCAGTATCTTCTCCAAGTGTCTAGAACAGGGGGAGGTATCAAGGAACTGATTGACAGAGCCTCTCAGCCCTGACCTAAAATTGATACTGCTGACTATTACCCAAGCTGCTACTTTAGTAACTAGCTGGCTATCTAGAGGGACGCTACATATGATAAAGTGATTTTTCCTTCAAAGAAGCAGATCCGTGGATGAAATATAATAGAGGTGGCCCTTGTTCTGGTCCATAGCTTGTTGGCAAGTGCAGTTAGCCAATTTGCCAATAGGTGGCTCTGTACCAGAATGGTGTCTGCTACAACAGGTAGAGAGACTAGGTTTTAGGCCCCTTTTATGTAGAGCCCTCCCACAAGTGATGACGGGGGTGAGTCAGCACCCATATATAAGCTAGGTAGGAAGGGGACACATTGAGACTAAACACAGAGAGCAAAATATCCCACACCTATGAGTATGTAGCCTACATACGTAGGCCCTGGACGGGGAAGGAGTCAGGGTGGACTGAACCAGTACTCTGTAGTCATGCTGTCCTTTAAGGAGGCGGGGCTAGGATGGATTGTAGGCCAAGCTGGAGATCCCTGTGTGTAGCTGCCTCCCTGGAGGGTTTCCATGAGAGATGTACCTGGCTAGGAGGTGTCTACAGAGCACAAAGTCCTTTGCAGAGGAGGGACTGTAGGAAAATGCTGTTGAGGCGCTGCACCTGCTTTCACTTGTGACTACTGCGGACCATCCACTATACAGGATTGACCAGGTTTGTCAAGTCACTCTGGAATGTGGGTCCTAGTGATGTGACTGTATTGCCATTCCCTGAACATCAGTAAAAAAACAGTGAATCTACTTATTGTGTGGACATTCCTTTTTGAAAAGGCTGGAACAATTGAGTACTGTCCATGATACTTTTTTTTATTTGCACTAACATACAATTTTGAGGACAAGCTTTCGGGTATTTCCCCTTCTTCAAGGTCCAAGCAGTGCTAAGTACTAAGGCTGGGAATGTTGTGAGTAGGCCCATGACAAGAAGCAGGGCACAAGATGGTGGAGGTTAGCCTTAGCAGGCGGGACTGTGTTTTAGCAGGACTGAAGCCTGTGTGGGGAGGAGGAGGGGGCTAAGCCCTTGTGATTGGGCACCAAAATCAGCCAATCATATAGCTCCTCTTACAGGCTGCTCCCTGTCTGATAGCAGCAAAGGAAGCTCTCTCAGAAAGTAAATTCTTGGATGTGTACCAATGAGTGCCTGGTACAAAAAGCTCATGTTGCCTGAAGGACTTGAAACATTTAATGCTTCTGATTATCAGATGCAGCCAACACATTTTGGGGGGGGGGGGGGCTTCCCCCATTTTGGGGGGGCTTCCCCCCTTTTTCGGGGTTTGAACTGTCAGTGTTGCTAAAATTCCAACAGAATGCACTAAGGGGCCCTTGATA